CAGGAGTGAGTCTTTTTATAGAAAATCATCACAAATTTGCCCTAAGGAACTATAAAAATGCATTATACTAACAAAGGGAATAGGACAGGGTTACACAATAATTTGAATTTCATTTTGTATTTTAAAATTGTTTGTATAAATTTCTCATTAATTGTCTTAATCTAATGTTCATTGTTGATGACATTAATAAATTTATTGTTTATCATAACTTATAAATCCACTAGAGGATATTAAAAAATGAAGCTGGATCTAATCTTACCCAATTTTTGTTCTTTTGAAAACATTCTTGGTGTTAATTCAAACCTGTTTTGACCAAATTCTGATAGTTCTCGTGATTGAAAAAAAAAAATTGCTCTCTGGAAGATTAATACTGATAGTTTGTGGTCAAGTAGTTGAAGACAGGAAAAGGAATAGAAGAAACAGAAAAGAGGGTGAGTTCAGTTAGGACCTGCCATAGATTGAGCAAATTTAGGAACTGTGGGAAGACACAAAGCAAAAGTTTATCTGTAGGTCACAGGATAAGATCTGTTAACTGTGTTTGACTATGTTAGGAAGCGATAAATGCTAAAAACCACCACATATGTCCATTGGCATTACTGGCATTCTGTATTGTATTTGATACAAAATTATATTCCTGAAAATTTAATTGATTTAAGCTATTTGAGGTAATCTAAAGAAGCTAACCAATGGCTTACATTTGTAATGTTTTTAGGTTTTATTTCTGTAAATTAATTCTAACCAGTTGCTACAACTAGACAATATTAGAAGAAATAAAATAAAAAATATCTATGCCACCATCTTAATTATATTATCTGATATTTAAAAATGTTTTCAACAAAATTAATTTAAGTTATTCATGAGTACTAGAAAGGAAGTAACATAACTTTATAATAAATACAATTCATTATTTGGCACAACATTCTATTAAAACATATTCTCTGAATGAGCGGGACTATTAAAGAGTTGGCAGTATCCTTGAAAGAGCTTGGCTGGAATTCAGAAGGAAATGAGTTTTTTCAAGAACATAATCTTATTATATACTTCAGAGATAACTTGTTTCTGAAAACAATCTTAAGGGGAAAATGAAGCACCAAGATATTATAAGGTCTTACAAAACAAGGAAGTGATAGATGATTTCATCTATCTGATTTCAAAGTGACTATTTTATGCCATTACCCCAATGGATAAAACTCTCATATATTTTTTAACTTCCTTTGATACTGAGCTACTATTAACCATGCAACAGCTTTTTAAGATGCATATTATTTTAAGTGACTCGTTTTCTGACGTAGTACATGGGAGTACAGACAGCTCTAAAGCAAAATCGCATACCCTAAAAGGGTCTTAGGAAAGAAGAAATGGGAGATATTTAATTTTCCTTTCAAATAGCTCCAACTCAAAAATCTTACTGGTTTGTGTGTATGTGTCATATTTGACAAATTCAATCATCAGACCCTAATTCCATTGTATTAATATATTTATATGCTTATCACATGAATGCAATGCTTACAGAGGTTTTTTCTTTTATTTCTTCTTTTTTTTTAAAAAAAGAAGAAAGGTATTTGGAAATGCAATGAAAAAGTATTGGGAAATATATTAATTGGGAATATATTAATTATTGGAAAATATATTAATCCTTTGGGTTTCTCAAGTGGTACAATCACAGATCAGAAGCTTCATTCTTTTAATAATGATATTACAATCTTTCACCATACAGATAATTGTAATACTAATTCAAAATCAGTAATACTAATTTTCCTTAGAAAACTCTCAACTAACCAATCATTAATACGCATTAATTTGATAGAGTCATTTTTCTGAAGGACTTGTTAGTGTAGGTATATGTGTAGTGTTACTGTCGTAGTCTGCAACAAGGTATTGATTTGAATATGTTATAGCGCCTTTGTCTCCTGATATCTAGTACAGAATTTACAGGCTCTTCAAAGTATAGGACAACTAAAGTCATTAATTTAAAAGTCACATGTTCATTAGTCAGTAATGTGCATATATATTTAAAGCTCGAAGGTCCATCTTACATATCTCAATAGTGCTGATACAGCATTAAACAAATACAACACAGCTTGAAAACAGGCTGAAATGTTAAAAGGGGGCCAATCGCCTGAAGTATTCAAGGCAAAACAACTGACTATTGCAGTAAAATTATACATTGATTTGGTAAATAAAATGGAGGAAGTCAACTATTCCTTTACATAATATCTTTTTAAGGTTAAAAAAAATTCCAGAGACCTTTCAAATGTAATTTTGATAGAGTGTCCGGGTTCAGCTTCAATCACCCACTCACAATTCAGAGAGTCTTTATAGTACCCTGGCCATCCCGGAGAGAGGATCAGTCCGCTGGGAGCTGAGAAATGGCCACCACATGGAGCTGAGGAATGAAGTCAGAGAGTGAAAATAGAGCTTTCAGAACAAGTTGCAGGAGCTATTCCCAGTACTATGATTTGCACAGCGAATCTCGCCATAGACTTATTAAATGCTTCTTTATAATTTTTTTAAAGTAAATTGCATTCAGTCCTTCTACTATTTAATGATTATTTTCCTTAAAAAAGTAAATTACTTTTTAAAAATATGGCATAACTAAAAGAATAATAAAAACGGCATAGCTACCTACTTAGCATGTCAGAAAAACTAATCATTCAAGTCCCCCAATAATATCCCATAAATACATTCTTGTGCCTCTATCATCCTTCTCATCTTCAAAGCTTAGGGAAAAAAATATGTTAGTTTGTGTCTCTCATTTTCTGATTTACATTTCCAAACACTGCTAATTCATGCTACACTATCTAAAACATTAATTTTCCTTTTTTCCAAAGTCCCTATTACTGTTTAGGCCGTCATTGATTCATTGACCTTCTCTGACTTCCCATCTGCTAATGGCTCTCTTGCTTCAGTCCAGCTTTCAGAATGTTCTTCAAATTAAGTTTCATCACACCATTCCCCATCCTAGACATGTATTATTATCCCTTCCCTTTTAGCATCCAGGTTATTGAATACTTATCAAGTATTCAATCTTCTGCTTTTCCCTACACTCACCATTGAAACCATAATGATAGCACTGTAATTCCAGTAACAACTTGATTAGGTCTCTTCGTGTAAACAGCTCATTTTGTAGATAAACGAAGTTCTGAGAAGAGCAACTTGCTGAAGTTCACAAGATTTGAAAGTCTCCAAAGTACTTTCAAGTCTGTTTTTACAAAATGAACCCCAAAACCTGCCCTGTACCATTATTCCCTGTAGTATTGGTAAATGAAACTACCATCCATGGGGTTGCATAAGCCAGAGAGCTATAGCAGTCATCTTTCTTACTTCCGTTATCCTTCCATTTACTCACTTATCCAATCCAGTCCAGAGCTCATATATATTACTGATTTCAGAGAAGAAGGGAGAGGGAGACAGAGATAGAAACATCAATGATGAGAGAAAATCACTGACTGGCTGCCTCCTACTGGGGATTGAGCCTGAAACTCGGGCATGTGCCCTGACAGGATTTGAACCATAATCTCCTGGTTCATAGGTTAATGATCAACCACTGAGCAACACTGGCCAGGCCCAAAGCTCACTCTTATTTCTGTATCTCTATAGCCTGTAGCTGCCATAATAGTTTAAATTACCATCATCACATTCCATGGAGTAAACCCTCCTAACTGACGGTCCTAAGAGGTCTCTTCATTCACATTAGCTATCCTCCAGACTAGAGCCAATGTGACTTTTTAAAACCACAAATCTGACTATGCCCTTCAGTGGTGTCTTTCTGTGTTGATCAGTAAGGCCCTACATGATCAGCTGTTGCTTACTCTCTAGCCTAGACTCTGACCTTCTCCCCTTCCCTCTGCACCCAGCTACGTTAGTCTGCTCTGTACCTTCAGGAGGGACACACAGTAAAAAATGGAGTACAAGTGGACTTGAATTGTTGAAAATTATTCAGGAAGAAAAAAAAATCAAGTGTATATCAGCTTTTCAACACATTGGAAATCATTCCCAATGACCTCCCATGTTGTATTTTTATTTTCTTTAAATCCTTCCATTTAAACTATCCCCTATGTTTCTATTTTTTGTTGTTTACATGTTTCTTTCTGCTTTACCTTACAGAATTTATAAAAACTGATTTCTCCAGACGTTATTTTGTACTTTTTCATTCTTCAAATAATTTGGTGTAACCCAAAGAAAATAGAAAATAGTTATAAAGTGTCCTAGAAATCAAGCATTACTGAACAATGTCAATTTGAAAGCAAATTATGTAAAATTGCCAAAATTTATTATTTGTATGAGAAAAAAAATCCTTTCATATAAAACTAAACTCTCCTCCTTAGTAGAATTGAATTATTTCTTAAAAGACTTTTAAAGGAGACCATTTTTTATTTACTTTTTATTATAATGACTCATAATTAGGTTTCCTATAGGGTTATTATGCATTTCAAAAATGAAATTATGTGCATAATAGTTATTTACATTACTGAATGTTAAATGACAGAGTATTTTAGTGAGAGAAGGTCCTGGAAATATGGAGAGTTTCTGACAAAAATTCTTGGTAAGTCTTGGACTCCCCAAGAGGGTGTGACACCTAAGAGAGATGCTCAGTGAAGTCAGTCAGGAAAGTCTCGCCATCACACTGATAAGCAGGGACATGGCAGGGAAATGAGCACATGGAGATGCCATGGCAGCAGCAGCAGAGTATGGAGTGGACAAAATGCAGGGCAGAATAAGGAGACACCAAGTGTAAACTAAACATTCAAGAAAGAGAAAAAAAGAAAACGCCAACTATAGCCTTAATAACAACACAAATAGAAAGGCAATAACTTAGTTGCCCAAACCTTACAATTTTATCATATCCATGTACTGTTTATATTATACTAGAAGCCCGGTGCACGACATTCATGCACTGGGAGAGGCGGTTGGAGGCCTCAGCCCAGCCTGTGCCCTCTCACAGTCCAGGACCCCTCACTCCTTAGAGTCTGCCTGCTCGCTGCTCCTTAGCACTGCCACAGAGGCAGGAGAGATTCCCGCCACAGCTTCTGCACTTGCCAGCCGTGAACCCAGCTTCTGGCTGAGCAGTGCTCCCCCTGTGGGAGCACACTGACCACCAGGGGGCAGCTCCTGCATTGAGCGTCTGCCCCCTGGTGGTCAATGTGCATCATAGCAAACAGTTATTCCACTGTTTGGTTGATTTGCATATTAGGCTTTCATTATATAGGATGATTAATAATTTTCTTTAGATACACTTTTATTTTAGCTTAAATGACCTCTTTGGACTTGGCCTAAGCATGCATACATACATACATACATACATACATGCATACTAATATAGATCTTGCTTTCTCTTTTCTTTTGATGCTTATATAAATTGGAAATCAGATGTCTGAGATTATGATTGAGAGAGTCGAGTCAGTTAGAACCCACATAATAAGTCATGAAGGGGGTATCTTGACCTCGATATTTTTGGAAGGGGATGTTGAATCTTTTCCTCCTTAACTAGAGCTCCAAATTGTCAATTCCAAAACAAATGGAAAGTTTCCCTTATACCTTGTTATGCATTTTGTTTTTCTTGTCAGGGATGTTACAATGATAACAATATTCAAAATATTATGTCTCTACCAGGAAGGGACAACTTGTTTTCATTAGTCTTAACTCAGTGTCTTAATTAAATCAACAGCTTTGAGCCAATAGCATTTATCCAACTCTTCCAACATATTTTATTGAATGTAATCCTCTTTATCTTTAAAGCAGCCCAGTGAATGTATTATGTCCTAATTATATTCAAGAACATGACCATGTAATCCAGAAGGCCAGTATTTCATTTCCATTTTTGTTGAGGGGATTGTTTTAGATCAAAGAGGGCATTGCTGGCTACAGTTCAAAGGGCGTAAAAGACAAAGAACCAAATAAAAAGAAGAGCAGCAGATAGTATACATGCATCAGAGCCTCTGAGTCCCAGAGGAGAAATGACTATGAAGAAATTAATCCCTGGTAATAAGTGAACTGAACAACAAACCAATTTTACTGAAATGAATAGTAATAAGAACAGAAGCAGGAGACCAGTTTGGAACCTATCAGAGTAAACAAGGGCTGGTATGATGATTGCTGATACCAGGCTGTCAGCAATGGAGGAAGTAAGAAGTAGATAGGTTTTGAATATATTTCAAAGATAGAGCTAAGAGAATTTTCTAATTGATTACATATGGTTGGTTGTTATAGAAAAAAAGGAGTTAGGAATTACTCTAAGAGTTTCAGCCTGAATTACTGGAAAAGGGGAGTGCTATTAATGATGATGGAGAAAGTTTGTGACAGTAGCATGTTTAGAGTGATTGGGGGTGATCAGATCAGTTTCTGACAGAATAAGTTTGAAGAGCCTAAGTGGACACTTTGAGTAGGAAGCCAAATATATGAGTCAGGGAAGAGAACTAACCTGGAGATTTAAATTTGAGAGACATCCATACAGGGATGTTATTTAAAGTTGAAGACTGGATAAAAAGTACTAATAGAGTAAGTGGAAATAGAGAAGAAAAAACATCTGTGAGCTAGCTCTACAACACACACTAGCAGAGATCAAAGACATGAGGAAAAACCAGGAAGAGAAAATAAATGAGCCTGAATAATATATTTAATAAAATGAAATTTAAAAAACATACAACTGCCCTATCTGGTTTATCTCAGTGGCTAGAGCATTGGCCTGTGGACTAAAGGGTCCCAGGTTTGATTCCAGTCAAGGGCACATGCCCAGGTTGCAGGCTCAATTCCCAGTGGGGGGCATGCAGAAGGCAGCTGTTCAATGATTCTCTCTCATCATTGATGTTTCTATCTCTCTCACTGTCTCCCTTCCTCTCTGAAATCAATAAAAATAAATTAAAATCCATAAAATAAAATATTAAAAAGAAAATATACAACTTTTAGGCTTGTATAACTTCTTTTCCCATGAATAATTTTATAGCTTTAAACTATAAGGAGACATTTCATTTTAAAAAAGGTAAATGGTATACAGTTCAGATTTTATAACAAAATAATAAATACAATTTCACCCAACTCTCATTTTTGGTCTGCAAATAAATCCTTCTCATCTTTCAGTCTGTATGAGTACAGTTTAGTAGTATTAAAAATGATATTCACCAATGAATAATAAATCCTCATACCCAGGAACAGTTTTCTTCTGTGACTGAAACAGTGGTAGGAGACAATTTATATCCAACTGTCTTGCTTTTTAAATCAAAAAGTTCTAGATGACTTAGCGCTCTCTGACACCTAGGAAGAGAACTTCTGTGTTTTGCTCTGAGTCTCATGGGATGGTATCTCTTTCAATTTCTTTTGGGATGCATTGGTTGGTTTATTACTGGCAAATACAGAAGCAGCCATTTATAAAATAGAAATACAACTCAG